TTCGCGTTCCGCGCGCGCGCGCGCGGTTAAACGGTGCGCTTTATGCAAAGCGCAGCCTCGGTTGTTGTATTTTTAACGCGATGACAACGGCGTCTGCCTAATGCCACCTAAACGAGAGAAGCAGAACGAACTAGGCGTGCTCCTCACGGCGAACCAGGATCTCGGGATCGCTTCTGCGTCGGATTTAATGCGAGGACGTATCCGGTTCGCGCGAACCTCGAGAACGCTGTGAAGTCGATCGATCAGAGCGAATTCGACGCGGTTCGAGCTACTCTGTGAAATCATTTCTACATTCTTAACTGAGTTTCTTCCTTGGGATCTTTCAATTGTTCTAAGATATAGGGATTCTCTTAACCCTTTATGAGCCGAATTTTTTTTCATGATTATAACAATTTATACAGTACGAAATTAATAAATATCCACATATGAATACGAATGAACAATGTAGTTAATGGTTTCAATAATTTCATCGAACGAATATATTTTGTAACTATCAAGTTACAAGAAATAAATCAACGAGATGACAATATACTGATATGTGACTTCAAAGTAACATGGGCCTATAGAGGGTTATTAGTAAATTATCAGACGAGTCGAAATCACCTATTGCTTGTAATCAGATAGTTCCGAAATCTATCACTCTATACAGAATGATTAACAAACAAAATTGGTGTAGATACCAGCGTAAAATAGGTAAAAACAGAATTCATCGCGCGAGACATTGCCAAATCTCTGAATTCATTTCCAGCGCAAGTGGTTAAAGTCTCAATAGATTTAGAGTTCCTAGACATTTCAAAATGTCAACCACTCGGTAGTCTCAATGTTGAAGATGACAAATATAAACTACCCATTCCATACAGATATATTTCACAAATAACACGCACAAATCAATAATAAAACGCAGGTATCCCGATTGTCTCGCGCAACGGTCGTTTCGAAACGAGGTAATGATAACTCCCGCGACGGTACCCGTCCAATGGGAATCCGCTTTCGACAAACGCTAATCGTCGTTCACCCACATCGCAGTGACTCAATCCCTCCGCGGGTTCGTGTAGGTGGTTCCCGCGCCCCGGGAACGGCAACAGCGACACGGGCCGTTTGAGAAACAGCCAATTCGCTGGATCGTAGCCGAACAAGAGGAACGGAAGAGACGCGCGACGGCCCATACAAATGGCGTCGCTCCCCGGCCGACGGATCACGTACGGACGCTGATATACACGCGCGCTTTCTATCGTTGCCAGAATCGCGTGAAATTCGTGGGCCGCGGGAATACAGAATAGAAATGATCGGCCGGAGTGCATCGGAATGCGACGCGCGCCCGCGCGCGGACAGGGGTGGATCGTCCCGGGGGCGTTTCGCAACCGGCGGTCTCGAATTTTCGAGGCGTGCACCGTGGAAAGGAAACGCAGGAAATCACGGGGAACAGGATCGATTTATACTCGCGGTGCGAAACGCGCAACGTCGGCGGGTCAACGCGCATAATAATCAATCGGAAGGGGCTGCGATTTGCATAAACGTTGCGTGCCGACGTCGCCGCCTGTTGCTCCACATTCCCGAGCGCGCTCGTAATACGCGCAAGGTCCCCCTTTGTCAAGGATGAAAAATTCTGAGCCGGCAGTCGCATACCGGCCCCTAATTGGCAACAATATATTTCCCCCCCGCGGCGAGAACGCCGCGAACTAATTAGCCCTTCGCGGGTAAGGATATTTTCTTAAGCGTCGAGGACTTAATTAGGCTCCGCGAGAGAGACGCCGGATTGCGCGCCGAGTTGTTAAATATCGGGGGAGATCGGAGATGAAGATTTTGTTGTTTAAATAATTAATTTCGTTGAATTCGAATCGAATTTTTGGGCGTACCTGTTATGTAACTTTGAATATTTCGGTTTTGCGATATCTTGTGTTGTCCTGTGGTTTGGAAATTTAAATGTGTATGGGTCAGCAATGTGTTAACACATTTTTAGTCTATCGTTTAACCCTTTGCGGACGAAGATTCTTTGGAACATACAAAATATTCAACAGATGAAGCTAAATTATATATCAGTTGCTTAAATGATAGGAAAAACAGAAACTACGTGCTGATCTCTTGGTGTTTGAGTAATTAACCCTTTGCACCCCAGAAATTGTTCACCGGAAATATTCAATATTTTCTAATGAGATGCAGACGACAGTTTCTTAGATTGAATTAAGAAATCTCATGCATCGAGGAAGAGAACTATTTCTTTCAATATTTCGTACATTGATGCATTATACAAAGTTTGATATTGAATATCAAAGTTTACAGTTTTGCTGTATCGAATCATTTGGTGACTTAGAGCCTCTGGAGTGCAAAGGGTTAAATTATATGTTAATGACTTAATCTTCGAAATATGAAAACTTCATCTCGCCGAAATGTTGACATTCGAAAGGTCAATTGCTAATCCTACATTCGTGTAACATTTTCGATATGTATAACACAAATGCAAAATTTCCAAATCGAATTCCCTATTCTCTTCGTAAGTTAGAAACTTTGGTTTGATCGATATTTAAAGATGTATCAATATAATCACCGACGCTCGCGTTTTTAACTGAAATTTAGCCGGCGTTCAATGTGTTAAGAACGAAACCGCAAATCTTCGGAAAAATGTTAACGAGCTGAATTTACCGAATTACCGATTCCACTTCCGTTCGTGGCAGGCGAACCCCGAGAGACAGAATCGCGCGCTTTCGTTACCAGAGAGTAATGGCGCGGAGCGATCCAGAGACGTGCTACACGATACCTGTCCGCTCGGCCGGAGTTTATCGCGACGCGCAGGCCATTGTGTGGGAAATACCGCTCGACCGGTTTCCTCTAATCACGTTAACTTTGAAGCTTTACCCGTTGACGCCGCGGTGCCTTTTCTGCGTTTGATTTAATCGTCGATACTGATCGATAGATCGAGAATACGGCAGCTTTCGCGGGGATATAAACCAACGTTTCTTTCCTCGGTCCAGTCAAGTTCCGTCGACTCGAACGTAAAAGCCTGACGCCAATGCTTCGAATCATTATCGGCTGATTATCGAATCGGGAACATGATATAACTGGAAAATAGAGCATTAGTCAATAGAGCGGGAGTCATTTGTTGACAGCGGTACATTAACGATTCTTTATGAACCGGCTGGTTCCGCCAGTTAATATTTTGTTTATCGAACCGCGGCTGATTTCATCGTCGACAATTTCGCGAGACTAATGGCCTGTTTAATACGTAATATGTTATTTACAGAAGAATTTATGTAATCAATTATATAAGCTCAATGGACGGTTCGGTACACGGGCGAGCCGGGTAAACACGAATCCGTCGAAACGCGTGATTGTTTGAGGACATTCCGTTAGGGGATGAAATGTCCTGTGAATATTTTAGTTTGGCGCTAAGCGGATTATCCGTGCAGCGTGGCAAGTGCAGCGCGAAGCTCGGTGAACGCGAAAAATATCGGCGAAAAAAGAAATCGTCCGAGGAATGGAATCTCCCTATGGTGATTTCGACGCCATTCACGAATTCACGGAGCATGGAGCCAGACTCTACCGCGTTCTAATAGCGCATCGACCGATTCTTACATAATTGGAAAGCGAGCCGGGATTTTCATGTGTGTTATAAAACTGCATTAATAGAGCGGTAATTAAAACGTTGATGCTCACTGAACAAGCTAAGTACGGCGGGATTAGCGCAATCTGACCCGAACCTCTTCGGCAGCGC